AGAAACAGAATAAGGAAGGAGGACACAGAAAACAAAGACAGTTTAGCGTGGAGAAAATTGTTGAATTCTGACCATTATTAGATATTTTTACAATAGTACCCGACATCAGACACACACACACACACACACACACACACACACAGAGTTGCAGTAATTGTTGTAAAGCTCCTAACACGACACAGACATCAAACGGGCCCCTGTGGCCCCGAACAATCCGTCATTTTTCTTCTCTGCATCACAGGCCCGTGTTGGAAATTAATTTAAAATTTGTCAACCAGAGTACACGAAGAATCCCGGCCAAGATCGCTATGGTAACTGTATGCCATACCATCCTATTTTAAGCTTCATTTAACATTTATAGCAGAGTTGTTAACCTATGCGAACCTTACATAGGCGGCTCTGAGCATATTTGTTTATTGTAATTAGTCGGCTCCCTCCCTTCTGTGGCTCGGCAGCACGAGAAGCAGCCCGGCTCAAAGAGGAGAGATTAAAGAGACGCGACTGTGGCGCTGACAGCAAACTGTGAACACTGGCATTACGTTCTACTGTAGAAGGCGATCGTCAAACGGGGGCGGAGGTGATTGTGTGTGTGTGTGTGTGTTTCTGTGTCGAGATGCACAGGGTACGACGCGAGGAAACGACAAACAAGGGAATGGGTTTGTCAAGTTGGTGATAAAACGTAAGGTCGCACCAGTACCAATACTGGTATCTGTGTCGGCCCGATACTTCATTCTGGTACCTATGGCGTCTCATTGGTGTATATTTGAACAAAGAGACGGGGAAGCAGGAGTGTTCTCAATCTCAAAAGCTCTGCTCACTTTCTGTACAGCTAGCTGCGTTAGCTACGCAAAAAGGTTGATTCTTATTTATCTTTATATTTTTAAACCTTAGTTTTAGTGATGTGTATCATGTGATGACGTGAAGTTTGAAGATTTGTTGTTTCCTGTTTCGACTGACGTAGCCTTCCATTGACGATAGGGGAGTAAAACTAAGTGTTTTTCCTCACTGTGATACTCAGGATTGGCGAGTACACAAATATAAATACTTATACCTGTATTGGGTTGTAAAAAAAAAAAAAAAAAACGAGTAAAAAACATTATAAAGCGGTGTGATTCCTGATGGCAGAACGAGAGACTGCGGTCCAGTCAATGATGAACATTTGATGTCGTGGCCTCCTGCCTGTTTGTATTGTTTCCTTTCCTTCAGCTGCTGCAGTCCTCCTCTGGAGGAGCGGTGCTGCAGAATGACAAATGATCCAGGGGAGGGGATCTAATAACATGATCTCCTTGCGGTGTGAAAAGGATGGCTGGGAGATTAAGACGGACGGCAAACAATAAGACAAAGGTAGTGTGTGACTGACTACAAACAACTGCCGTCTCTTTCATCCATTCGCTTCTAAATGCCATTAGCTGCTCACTGACCTGAGCCGCAGAGCTACCTGAAGGGAACCCCTGCTTTTGCTTATAGTAGCGGACACACTGGCTCAGTGGGTAATTACCTCCTGAGCCATCGCGTCTCCTCCTGTGTGCAGCAGGTACGGGGACGCTGCAGATATAGAACCAGCTCTGAGGAGGCAATATCACTGCTGGAGCTCCGGTCTGAGTCGAGGTCACGTTGTACTAATTCGATAAATTAGTTGAACGTACGGATTTAATGAAAAAAAAAAAGAAAACAAAAAAGAAACCGCAATAAACCCATTCGACGGAGTCTGAACTGGAATTGGATATCCTCTCCTGAACTTGCTGACACAGATGAGCCGAGCTCGCTCTTTTCAATACAACAATACAAAGATGGAAAAATAAATAAAAAATAAAGCGGGTCACAGCGGCTTCCTATTAAAAAATATGCTGCAGCCACTGAGCAATGTGTCAGCAGAGAGGCAGTGACATGACACGCAGCTGGGATGCTAGTCAGGCTACAGAGGTTCTGCCGGAGTTGAACGCTTTGAGCTGCTTGTGAGTGTGTGGCAAAGGCTCGGCATGTGTGTGTGTGTGTGTGTGTTTATGCTGCACATACAAGCTCACATCGAGAGAAAAGGAGAGATAGCAAAAGAAAACCAAAGCTGGAAATTGCACAACACTCCAAACACCCCTCCTGCCAGCGGCCTCCACCGCCTCAAATGTGTTTATTTTTCATATTATTCATGAGTCTCCTGTACGCCCCCCCCCCTCCCATCCTCGCTCCCTCCCTTTACCATCTAAACCACTCTGTCAAGACCTGACGAGAGGCCATTTCAATAATGAAGATGGACTAACTGCAATACAGAGTGCACATAAATTGGAGCTACAGCCAACAACCATGTCCAATTTGCCAAGCGGTTAAGCCTGATGTCTGGTCGCAGCTCTAAGGCAGCGGCGCGGCTGCCATCAATGGGTTTGTGCCGACCTGATTCATCCATCCACATCATTAATACTTCACAGAGGGCACCAGCATTTAACTCTGCTGCAGGAAACAGCTCTTTAAACACCACACATTAGGGCACGTAATCACCGTGCACTCATTTCGGGGGAACATTCAGCAGGTGTAGGAGAAGGCCCGGTTCGTCTGACCTCGCTATTGTTCCGGCGAGTGCACGAGGGCACTGGGCACAACGCAGAACAGAAGACGAGACAAAGAGCAGAGACAGGGAAGAGCCCAACAGAACGATTAGTTCTTTATTTGTCCTTTTTAAAACCTCCTCCACACACCGTGTGATAATGTGCAAGCTGGATAACAAGATAAGAACATGTTTACTCATGCGACATGGAATCGTATCAGCAGTACAATCAAATTCCT